TGCCCTAATCGGTTTATGACTGGCATAATCGTCTGCACTGTGCACGTCTTTTGGTCATGGTCGTTTGTGTATCTTATGCTGACATATGTATGTCCAATACGGAATATGGGTTAATCGGAGGGAAGCATACGGGCGGCATTACACGATATACATTCGCGAACGCGTATATGTTTCTGAATTTATGTTACAAGTTACGCTGATGCTGTCTGTTGGCAGCAACATGGCAAGCAGACTCACCGGGACACTCGAAGCTCACTAACATGTTCATTTCAATTAACCGAAATTATGCAAATTACGCACAAGTTTTTGCACCGCTGCGTATGTGTGTGTGTGCGTGTTTGCTCCTCTTGTGGATGTTATGCACTTTTTCGGCTGTCCATTGAGAATGCAATGGAAAGAGCAGGATAGCAAGCCGACAGCGAAGAGCACGCTTGCGGTTCTTCAAGCTCATCTCTTCATGTGCATGCACACAAAACGTTGATTGAGAACGTGATGAATATATTCTGATGCAGTTGGTGCTTTAATTGTGGATTGTGGATGTAGTTTACTGGGAGACAGAGAGAGTGAGATTTGGAATGAGATATATGTGGATTCTAGATTGGATATTTGCGTGTATGTTCGTGACTGGTCCCGGCTGCGTCATTTAATGATGCTGGCTAATCGAGGTGGCTTTAAGAAGTCCATCAGTTCCACTGACAATCACATGCCAATTACAGTGCTCACATTGCTGTATAATCTAGTATAATCGTTCACTGTTTTTCCATCGCCAGTTCAGTGTGTGCCAATTTAAGCAAAACAAATCTAAAAAAAATCCCTCTTTCCCTGGTGTGTGATTTCTCTTTTTGGTTGCTCAAGCACCTGGCTCCGCCCACCTTTTGGTTTTCACAAGTACAAAGGTGCTCCAACTCTTTGGCATTTGTCTCACGCAATCCGCGAATCCCGTTAGCAATGAAAAATATTCAATAATAAAAAATGCAATGCGAGTTACATATGGCCCTAGCCGAATGTCAACAGCCAAAAAGGAAGGAAAAGGAAGAAAAAAATCTATATTTACGGGATATATTTACGGCATTTTAAATGAAAGCACGTGTTTGGCAAGGCAAACGAAGCGCTGGCAATGGCAGCAGCGACGCTGATGCCTCAAATATCGCACCTAAGCTCAGTCCCCCCCAGGAGGAGCAGAAGAAGAAATAGAAGCACCAACAACATCAGCCACCTGAAACGCGACCATAAAATGGCAAACGAACGCAATAAAAACTAGAAACAAGAAGACAGAATAGCTGTGACAGCCGAAGAGTTAGATACCCTAACAGAACTATTCACATGCAAATGTATGTACACATGTATGTATTTACATAGGTCGGTATTGTCATATAATTGTACTGTTTAATGCAGCAAACAAGTTTTTTATCAAAATAATAGTACCCTCTTGAAGAGTATAACTGGAACAACGGCTGCCGGGCCGCAAGCAATAAGCAGAGAGGTGGACTCCTGTAGAGCGGGATTGCTAGAGTGGAAGAGTGGTGGGGGAGTGGGCACGGTGGACTGAGGCTGTGAAGTGAATGCGGGCAGGTGGAGCGCATTACTTTGAAAGTACATTGAGCTTGAAAATGACTTTGTAAATGGCGCTCGACAAATATTTTATTACCAGGGGAACAGCAACAATTTACTTTGCCATACACCTCTACTCGAGAGTTTCTTTCCTTTGCTTGCTCTTTGCTAAGCGTTCTCTTTACTCGCGCAACCCCACCTCTCTCTCTGCTTTCTTATACTTTAATTTTGGTACAAAAAGTTATGAATATAAATATGAACAAGAACAAGAACAACACCTATTTCTACAGTCCCAGCAATAAATCCTTTAAAAATAATTTGAAATGCATGGCATACATGTGAACTCCACAGGATAAATTTGTATAGCATTTAAACACAATTAGTAACTCATACATTCGATTTAAATTCAGAGTAAATCGCGCTGTTACCAAATCATAGTTTTATCAAGTTGATTTTTAACATTCCACTCAGACCACGCAATTGACGACCATACATATCCTACATAGTTCTTGATTGATGGTCTAAAATTTGGTGTTGAAAATTGTGGTTGCTGGGAAATTTTATTGAAAATTATCTAGTTAATTTAACAAATTTTGTGCTCTCTGAATGCCTGCTGCGAGGCCATGGACAAAGCCCCGCAGATATATGTAGATGGGCGAAGAGGGTGGGTTATGGAATGTTGCCAAAATGCCAGGAGGTTCGACCTGCGGTTGCGGGTTCTCCCCACCCCACCCCACCCGATCCTGTCCGGTCCGGTTCGGCCCTGTCCAGCACGGTTCTGGGTCTATTCTCTGTTCTGGTGTTCCCTGTTCCCGGCTGGCAGCTATCCTTTTCGCGGTTACCTTTTGTCGCTAGCCATTGTTTTAGCGGCTTCATTGTTCTGCGTGGGCCTTTGGGGCTGGGCACGACGCGGCCATTGTTCCTGTGGAGCCTGATGGGCAAAATTTCTCAAGCCCCCTGTTTGCACTTGTTGGAGTGTTGACTTTGACGTGGTCAATGCTGGGGGTCTTTGCCACAACAGCTTCATTACTGCCCCGTTCTCAGTTGATTACAGTTCGCAAAATTAACGCCCATGTTCAGATTACTCCTTAATGTTCTGCCCAAGAAGGAAATATCGTGCTCCAAGCCACACTCCGACTCCACTAAAACTGCCTCAAATGCGTAGTCTCAGACTCATCCTACGGGCTGGGCGCGTAGTTTGCATTAATTTCGCGTTCATTTTACGCGATAATCGTATATCTTGGGATAATAGTCTGCGACCGGGCTGTGGGACGGGGGTCTGGCCATATTGCTTTAATGGTGGCTAAAATGCTCTTAATGGCATCTATTTCAGATTTTATTTATGCACTTGAAAATTTCATTGAAGTCTGTTCCGTCCAGGCCAGGGCGGTCTCCTTCTAACACTCCCATTTTGGCAAAATCAATGGAGAAAATGTATGCATAAGCCCATATCCATAAAACACCAACTCAAAGTTGTAAATGGGTCCGGAGAAGGCACCCCAAAAGCCTCAGAATTCAAGGTCTGCCATTCATATCCGGCTGAAATTAAACTTAGGAAATTAAATTTTACTACGAAAGGCAAGATTCTCATCGAACATCAGTAAATGATGGAGACCCAACCAAGTATTGTCTAAGGGCTTTTAGGGGTATGTTCATGGAGCTCAGCATTTGTGTGGTAACTTTAAAACATAATTCCCGAAAGGGATAGAAGAAAATTCGAACTTAAAACTTTAAAATTCACCATCCTGAAACATCACTAGCTGGAGTGCATCAAAAGCATTCAACTGTTAATTAGAGCCAATGAAACACTCGATGAAGTCAAGCCTGTGGCAATGATATACTCGTAGTACTATTAGAAATATTGTGCCTAGCGACCCATTCTGAAAAGCAAATACCAGGCGCCTATTCGCTTCGATCCAAAAATGTCCAATATTTGATTTGCTGCCCATGGGGCAACAAACTAAAAGTCGCATGAATAAATTGTGGCGGAGGTGGGAATGTGTTAGGTGGAGATGGGTGGGTGGTTAGAGGGGGAAATGAGCAATGGACCTTCAACAAAATTCTAATTATTCATTGTCGACGCGCCGCTGGCTGACAGCGAAAACAATGAGGGCACTCGACTGTGAAAACTGCAACAAAGCGCATTCCAAACCCAGACAGAGACAGACAAAGTGGCAAAGAAAGAAGGAGAGAGAAGGAGAGATGGAGGATGGAGAGTGAGAGTGAGAGTGAGATGGGTAGACTGACGCATTTACTGTCGCACTAAAAATAAAGCATGGGGGCAAAGGATTTACCAGCCATGAGAAACATTGTCAACATTTTTTACAATTTTCTAGTCGTTATTTACCATTGTTTCAGCTCCAGCCATTGTCGCAGATACAGAGGCACAGACGCAGATACAGAGCCACAAACACAGACAAAGACACAGACACAGATACAATCTCTCGCTCTCTTTTTTATATACATATTTCTGGATCCTGGTGTGTCCATACTGTTTGTTATGGCAGCTATTTGCAGCATTTAGTCCAAGTCCATTTAACTTTAATGCACTCTCCATCGCCATCTCTATTTTCATTCGCTGATTCCTTTATGGAACTGTAAAAGTGGGTCTTAGCCATCAGACGATCTTTGATTTATTGCCAGCAATCAGAAATGCATTCAACTTGGAGTGACCCATTAAGAGGGGCAGCAAAGGGTAGAAGAGATTGAGGCTGTCCACAAGGACAAACCTCACAGCCACAGCCCAAGCCCAAGCCACACCCACATTCACGTCCACTCGGTAGCCCACTTTTCCTAGGACTTTCCCTGGTGCCCAATTACAAGCAGTTGGCAGGACGGCCAAAAACTTTGTCCCACGCGCAATTAATGAATTTCATTCTCGGAACGGCGCCAAAATCCGTTTAGACGCAATGCGACACGGCCAACAAAAAAATCCACGAAAGCGGCCAGGACAAACTGAGTTCGAAATCGGGTAAAACTAATAAATAAAAAGAGATATAAATATATTTTCACTATCATGCTGCAGCGTTTTACGGGTTTAGTTGCTGCGAAAACATTTAAATGAATTGCTTGCTGTTGACAGGTCTTAAGGGAGTTATATAAAATGATTGAGAAAATTGAATTACAGATGGCGATGCGTTACCAACATATGTACAAATTTTATTTGTGCATTGGAATATTCCCGCTAAAAGTGGATTAAAGAGCGACTTTTAAGTGATTTTTATTGAATTGTTCTACCAGTAATCCGTATGAAACTTTTTTAACCTTTAGAAAATGTTTATTTTTTTTACACATGATAACAGAGGTGGTGACCGCTTTAGGAATGGGCGCTCCCATAGAATTTCCTACCGAAAGTTGACAATTCTGTTTTCGAAATGTGTGTAGAAAGGTTTCGTCTTTGTTGATGACGTTCATTGAAAACCAGATAACTTCCCATCCAGTCTCCCGAGCCTTTCCAAAACCATATAGTGATCCAGGGCTCGAGTAGGCACTAGTGCTATATTTCTAGTACACTTCAATGTAAATACAGCAAAATTCTGGTTTCATTTTATTATGTGAGTACTACATCTAATGCAATTCAATCCGACATAACCCTTTACAATGAAAGTGGTTTACTGGCGGCAGAACACACTTGTAGGTACGTCTGTGTAGCAGACGGGCGCACTCGAAATTCCAGTAGATCCGATTCATATACTTGCTTGGAGTAACAGGGAAGCAGATGGCCAGTGCAGTCGTAAACACCACATCGCCCATGGCGGGGCGACGCCTTCAACGGGACGTTAGCCGGCTTCTGGCCTCGGGCCATCGGACCACCGTTGATGACGATATGGCCAATCTGGATGTGCTCTTGGAGGGGCCGCTGGGTACTGCATACGAGGGTGGCACGTGGACGGTTAGCATTAGCATGCCGAAGGACTATCCGTTGAATCCGCCAAAGGTCCGCTTCATCACCAAGATACTGCATCCGAACATCGAGTTTAACACCGGCCTGGTCTGCATGAATGTGTTCAGGCAGGCCTGGTCGCCCAGCTACGATCTGTTGAACATTGTTGAGACCTTCTTGCCCCAACTGCTGCGCAACCCCAACCCGAACGATCCCCTCAACCACCATGCTGCCGAGATAATGAAGCACTCGGAGGCCATGTTCCGCGAGAACGTGATCGCCTGCGTGAAGATGTACGCGCGTCCCACTCCAGCGTGCTGCCGGTCGGACACGGCAAAGCAGCCTCTCGAGAAGCGCTCGTCGGATCTAAGTCTATCCGAACTGCTCTCAGACGATGATGTTGATAAAGATTAGGCCTTTTTGCTTGGTCCCTCGTTAGTTCTTTGTATCGAATACAGTTTGTTTAGAGTTAAAATTAAATGGCACATGTGATGCTGATCTGTAAAATAAAGTTTGATTTTGGTGAGTGGTCGCTTTGTATGTGGGTTGCTCTTCATCGATTAGTTACTAAATCTGAAGTCATATCTTCATGAGTTTGTCTTCAAATCATTTTCCACTCGAACCTATTTGATATTCCTGTGCTTCCAGTCGTGAAAAGCTGTTGGTGAACATTTAACCAATAAACTTTGGTCAATAAACTTTGATTTTCTGTCATGAACTTTAGATGTAAATAAAATATAAGCAAGCCGTGCTTTATTTTTCAAAAATTGTTCATTTAAATGGGCATTGCATCCAATTAGTATTACAGGCCATTAAACAATTTATGGAAACAATTTTCGCCCCGCCTCCACAAAATACAAAAATCGATGGCATCCAAAATGCTAAAGACACAAGAAAAAACAGGTAAACAAAATGTAAGTTTGGCAAAAATCAATAGGTAGGTACCAGGTATCAAAATAGTGTCTGGACTCACAATATTCGTCCTCGATTAATTTATATTTATAATTGGAGTCGCTATTATAGCCTCTGTACACTGACATAAGTTACGTATCGATAGTTGAGCAACTCAATAACTCGAAGGAAATGATGGATTCGAAGAAAATAGCCTCAGCCCTCTATTGTTACATTTCGGCCTACTTCTTATTAATAGTTATGAATGAATAAAAAGCATAAGCAAGTTGAATTATGTAAATGTAGGTGCAGATTTTCCTTAAAGAATGTGGGAGCTTGTTGTTGTAAAATTCCTCCCATCCCAAGAAAAATCTTGTACCTAGAAATAAATCGTGTTAAAGACAGAATCATATTCTCTCATTTTGCCTTAAAAAAATGTGTTTATTTATCCTACTCTAAGTAGGAGTCAAAGTAGGCTGTTTGACAAAATATATTTACGTATGTTTTTCGCGTTTGATTTGAGCCCTTTGTTTTTCAGTTTCAAACAGAGCGTCGAAGTGCTAACATCTAAATTGTGTAATTTTACACCAAACAAAATCCCCAAAAGTAAAACTTTAAATTATTTAAATTGAAGTAAAAAAGTGAAAGATTTTGAAACAAAAATTCCAAGCAACAAATTAATTTCGAAACTATTTTACTTGTTCTCTTGGTTTTCCAAAATTAGGAAAAGAAAATTAAAATGTACAGAACAGAGGCACAAAAACAAATGAAGCATTGCTATGCTAGTAGATTGCTTTACAAACCAGTGGTCCCGAAGCAAAAGCCACATTTCCAACTAGATGCATATACAAATGATAACAGTGACCATAAGCCTGTGTTCGGAAATAAAACAACAAGCTGGATTTGGCTGTAGATTTGGAACTGGATTTGGTACCTTGAGTCGAGGTATTCGTGTTGGACGCCAAACACTCGGAGCCGTACTTCGAAGAAATAAACACTAATGCCGTGCAGCTTCGGGCTTCATCTCCGCGGTATGTTCTAGGGCGCTGACCACTCGCATATGCACCTCGCCGGACCGGCCTTGTTCTTGAGAAGAGCCTGGTGGTGGCCTGGCGCATGGCATTCACAGATCGTTGCTCGCTGTGCTTTCTGGCAAGTACAGCGATCTCTATGCTCAAAACCTCACCTCACAGCATTTACGCTTACTACCACCAATCGATGCTTAATGATAGTTTTCCCCCGTTACTATCGTTTAGACTTCGGAGGTGTTCCAGGCGGACTTCGATCCTGGGCTATTGTTGCGACAGGAGGCTACCAAAACAGGTGTGTACTTCTCCTCCAAAGTGGTATCCTCTTGGCTTCTTCCTCCACACAACTCCAGAAATTTACCCAGAAATTGTATTTTCCTTTCTTAGCGTTCCTATGCATTACGCACCGACCCTCTCGCCACCCGCGCATGCACTGCAGTCGAACTGTTTCCTCTGGCTGGGCTTCATCTCAACCAGCAGCTATGTCTGAAATTGAACATCACCTCAAAACGGACGAAGAAACAATTAAATGGCAAGCGCCGTCCACCAGCGTCTACATCGAGCGGTGCGTGAACGACTTTCTCAAGAAGAACGAGGACGGTGTCAGCTCCTTGGAAAATATCGTGGAGGTCCCAACCGGGCGTTGGTTGTAGGATGATGACGGCATTGATGTCTGGAGTATGGCTCTACTTCCGACCGCCAAATCCAGCTTGTTTTTTTATTTCCGATCAGGGCTACGGTCACTGTTATCATTTGTATATGCATCTAGTTGGAAATGTGGCTTTTGCTTCGGGACCACTGGTTTGTAAACCAATCTACTAGCATAGCAATGCTTCTTAAGTACCTCAATTGTTTTGAGGTCTTCTTTTTAAAAGCCTGTTAGTTTTTATAAGCAATAAATTGTGCAGAGATCGTGTAATATTAGTAATGAAATCCACCAAAAATTATTGTTCGGCAACTACATACATTTCTACATACATTTCATACTTTCTACATTTCATACCCACACTTTCCCAGACATTTTATTTAGCCTTGGAGCTTGGAGCCTTATTTAGGCTGTTCCTAGAGTTAGTTTAAATTTTCAAAAACAGTTTCATTGCTGTCAACAATGTTCTCGCGGGATGTTTGCCGTTAAATGTCCAGCCTTAATTGCACTGAGCATATTGTCATAATGCGCCTATAAGAAATTGATTGTGCTCCATTAGCGTTAATTACGCATTCACTGGATATCCATAATGGAAACTAATGTCATTCCGCAGTTGATGACACATACAAGGGCCGTGCAGCAGGTGGATTTCTGACCAATTTGTTCAACTCGAATGTTTAATTTGGCCAGCGCAAGCGGCAGGGCACACCATACCTCTTTGAAAAGTTGAAAATTTTGCTGAAAACAATGGCAAACAAAAGCAGTCAAGTGCAAACAACGATTTAATTGTGATAATTACCGAAACAAAATTGTTTTTGATGCGCGCCGCCCCTGTAATGCCCATTGAGCTGTGTGTGGGCCATGGCCGGTGATAGATTCACCAAACAAAAGCTTTAAATGTTTGATAAATAGATTTTTGTGAATGCCTGAATTGCATACGATTCGAGTTGAGAGAACTTTGAATAGTTCTAGCCTAGTCCTGGCAGAGTCCAGGCTCTCGTTAATTAATTAATTTATGCTCGACAAACGAGTGGATCTCCCTCGTATTTCCACGGACAATCGAAAACTTCCAGAGAAAGTAGAAGTTTTGCCATCTCTCTGATGGAGTTTTGTCGTGTCTGTTGAGGAATGTCTGCCGTTTGTCATGCAAATCAATAATCAACAAACAAAAAATTCCACAAAACGATAATTCAGCAATGCTGACAAAATGAATGCGTCTGGATGTGCCTCAAAATTGGTCTAATACGATCAAACTTGAAGGGGCCCTGCCCTGTCATGATGTGAACGTACCTTATTGACGCCTGCCCTGGCCTGGACTCACTGACTGACTGAATGTCCCAGCCACCTTCCTTCCTTTCATAGACATCGGACGGCTTGCCAATGCCAGAGACCATTTGCCAATGCCAATGCGAATGCGAGTGCACTGTTCCAGACAGATGCGCAGACAATGCTGGAGTGGGTCTGGGTCTGGGACTGGGACTGGGACTGGGCTACTGGTTCTGAGGAGCAGGCTGCCTGTCTGTCTTTCTGTCTGTCTTCCCATCGAGAATTAGAATACGAGAGAGAAACGTGGCCCAGTCTCTGGGAATCGCATTCGGAATTTATGCAATAGTCGTTGCCGTTTTCGACTTTCAATGACTTTATCGTTGTATTTGCCACAACGAAATGATGCCATTAGTGAGGCATTCGATTGAAACTGATGGTTGAGTGGCTGGGAAAAGGATACTGAGAGAGGGAGGGAAGCAAGGGGTTACTTTTGGAGCCACAAAATACCTCAAGGTATGCAACACGTTTTGAGCTTTGAGATGGTGACAACTTAATGGCTAGATGGGGAGTGGAACTCGAAGAGCTCGCAGAGTAGAAAGGTTTGTTTAATAGTGCCTCAGAGATTGAAATAGAGGACATTACAGTTGGCACTGTGGAATAAACTTCAAAGGATATATGCAATATGTTTGGGGATTGGAGATGAGTTTATAAATGAGCAAAATGTAAATGAGATATTTTGGAAAGTTGTAAACAACAATCTCACTTTGAAATACACCCAAAGTACATAATTCTTCCCTAAGTAACATTCGGAATCCTTTTCCTTACCATTCCAACCGAATTCCCCGACAGTCTATGAGTTTCTCACTTTGTCTAGACATTTGTATGCCAATGGGCCGAGCACCAACTTGAACAGCAAATATTTGTTTGTACAAGGGCACTCGGAATATTTTTCAATGCGAAAGAGGAGCAGGTCAATGGATGGTTAAAGCCGAGAGACTAGCCTTTGAGCCTGCACTTTGTCCGCCGCTAATTTATTCAAGTCAATTGACTCAAGTCGACTCCACTTACAGGCACCAGGGCAGAGCCTCATTAGCATATTCTAATTAATTTATATTATTCCAAAATGCACAAAACTTAATTGGTGTGGACCACTTAGTTAATGAAATTGAAGTTTGCTCCAGAGTTGCCCAACAACCTCAACTTCTTGTTTCACATGGAAAATCCCTTCTCTGCAGAATTTTTGTAGGTTCTTTTGCTGCCTCTGAGCTTTTTGTAGCCCTTGTCTCTTGCTCTGCAGAGTTTTTGTAGCTGTTGACAATTTGGCGTTGCTCTGAATGGAAGCCAGACCCAGCCCAGCACAGCGCAGCCCAGCCAGTGTGCCCCTGTCCTTCGGGCAAAGTTTTAACAACTCTACAGGGTTGCCAACATTGCATAACATGGAACCAAAGCCTCCTCCATCCTCCTGCCGCACCGCACCCCCTCTCATTAAGCAGCAGAAGGAAAGTAGCAGCAACGGCTGCTGCCTCAAGAGTTGTTGTGTTGTGTTGTGTTGGCAAACAAATTTTAGTCATCGTCGAGTTAGTTATGACTGACAACTTTTCGACATACAATTTGCATTTTGGCTTTTTCACCCCCCTCTCTGCATATACCAGCCGTAGATATGTATATCTGCCTCTGCTTCTGGCTTCTACACCCCAAGAAGTTTGAGTGTCTGTAAGTTATTTTTGTATCCCTGCTTGACAAGCAAAGGACATGTGTTCTACCTCCTCAAAGGCAGACAGACTGCTGGGATGGGATTCCTTCTATTTGCCAGCTAATTTATGCCAAAGACAGTTGTTTGTCAGAGATGAGGATACGATTGCTGGAGACGCACCTTTGTGTGTGTGTCCCCGCATAAATGTCTTGTTAATTTCCACAATCCCCATACCGAACCACCACAATGCCAACCCGCTGGTGCGCCTCCCCACCTGCCAGCGAGCTACTTGAAAGTTCTCCCTGCGGTTTGGCTTGCCAGGTTGTGGCATTTCCATTGTTTGCCTGCACAATTGTTGCTCCACTTTTGCACCCACTTGCCTCCTGCCCCTGGAATGGAATGTGCAATGATGGGAAGACTGCCGGTGCTGCTGGCACATGGACATGTGCCAAACAATGCAGCTTCAATTACCAGGCAGCTTACAGCTTGTTTAGCTGGCAATGTTTTTGTTCCTTGAATCCTTCGAGTGGTAGGCTCAAGGAAATCCCCTACCAATGCCAATTGAATGCACACCGGCCACTAAGACTATTAACTAGGGGTATTGTTTAACAGGCAGTAATACCCTGGCCACGAGTTTGAGTTATTGAGGGAACGAAGGAACAAAAGAATGGCTCTCACATCGTTCTTAAAGTGTTTGCTGGTGAGTGTCTGCCTATCCATAGAGAATACATTTAAGGTAACTTTTATCTGTATTTTTCATGTCTTGCATTGACTTTCTAGGTGTCCGCCTTAAGATTTCATGGATACAGGGGTCTTGAAAGTGAGCTTTAAATGCCTGCGGGAGAACATTCCTTGCAATTTCTCGGCGAAATCAAATTCCTCTGCAAACATTACAACGAATCCTCCTCCATCAATCATTCTGCAAACTAAACCGAATCGGATGTAGGATAACCCAAACACCCCGTAGTACTCAAAAAAATCTGTGACAACTTTGAGAGAATTGAGAAGTTAAGCAGCCAATGCCACACAGGTCTGTTCCATTCAAATTGCTGGACATTAAACGGATGTCGATAAACGAGATTGACAATGACAAACATGAAAACGAGAAAAGCGCCCCGAAACAAGAGTCAATAAAATCCCCCAAAGTAAAATCTTCCGCAGAGGTCACAGAGGGATAAGCTAAAAAGAGAAAAAAACTCTTTGGAAATCCTTAAAGCAAAGCGGAGCGTGGCTGAGTGACAGCTGTAGCCCTCTCTTTTTCTCTATCTCCCTCTCTATGGGTTAACAGATGGCAGAACATTTACGGTCACAGTGTCACATATGTCAACCGGAGAGAGTCCGGATGATTGCAGGGCCGACAGAGATATGTACTGGCCAGAGGGAGAGGAGGAGAGAGATGGAGGGAGACGGACAACTGAAATGACCAAATGTCAAGTGCAATCCAAAATTCCAAAGAGAAAAGAAATACAAGAAATTAAATCTAGTTTCTGGAGAGTCGAACCTTGCTGTACACTTGCAGATCGATCATTTTAATAGAACATTTTGGAAATCTGTAACGGATGAGGTAGCATTGAAATTAATTTCCTGCAGCCTTCCTTGCAACCAATTTAAAATTGAACACTACTACATAAAACCTTATTGATTCCTATTGATTGTTCTATGTTCTTCATTCTGATCTATGAAATATTTGTTATCCATATGAAGGTCTGGAAATGCTATACAGAAGAGTACCCTCTTAAAGGGTATGCAATGACAGTGCCCAAGCATTTTTCGTTTTATTTAAATGTGAATTAAAGAATCTCCCAAGGGGTGGTCCGGAGTGGAGCTTCAGGTTGGTCTTAGGTCCTAGGGGAGTTATGTAGGGCTAGGAGTAGGGCTTGGTGTTGGGTTTGGGGGTCAGAGTGTACGCACCCACACATATGAAAGATTGCTTATTTGGCTGCTGGCCACTTGGTGAGAATGGCAAGTGCAAACATTGGCTTCCAAGAGCTCTGCGCCACTTGCAGCTCACTTGTGTTGCCCCACCACTGCTGCACTTCTTCGCCGCAGCAGCAACTGCAACTCCTCCTAAAACTCCACAGATACTCTTGGCTTTCGTGGTGTTTCTCCACTGCTCTTGCTGCTGCCTCTGCTCCTGATGTTCCTCTGCTGTTGCTGCTCACTTCTGCTGCTTCTGATGTTTCTCTGCTGCTGCCGTTCCAGTGCCGTTCTGCTGTTGCATGTGCCATTTGCATAAATCAAATTTGAATTTGCATTGCTGCCTGCTAAGAGCAGATGCTGGTGAAGAGTGCCAGAGAGAGAATGCTGGGAAGTAGATATATGCCGAGAGGGAGCACACAAACAGCATCTGCCGATTCAAAGCTCAACCCGTCATTCACACAAGCGTACACACGGACACCCCCACCTACACGCCACAACCACACTCTACACCCACAGTATATTAAACTGTTGGTAAGGTTTTCTGAATTAGATTTCCATTCGAGAGTCAAGCCGTAGATTGCCATACCTTAAATGTAAAATACCTTGCCCTTGGCCCCCCATCAATCCCACACACCGCAACTCACACATACATATGCCTGGCGAGGCAGCTGGATAAACACGTACCCAACGCGGTCCGTGGTGGTGTGGGTGGGAGGGGGGATGGGGCGGTGTGTTCTACCTGTGCGTGCTCGAACACGCACCAAGCAATGAGCACGCAGCCAAACTTACGCACGCTCGCTCCACCCCACCCCCCTTTATCCACAGCACAAACAGCAGCGACAAAGCAACGCCCGCAAAACCAATTCCCCTTATGCATAGTGCACCCCGCGAAAGGCAAGCAATCAGTTGAAGGAATGGCGGGCCTCACTTTTCCGAAATTCATAATTTCGATTACGACTTAAAAGCATTCTCCCAACAATTTATGGACAAATTTATATAATATGCTTGAAACTTGAATAAGCCATGAAAACGTCTTTGACACATTTGTTGGTGGATAAGTTTCAGAGTCTGGCGTACAGTTCCTTTGATTTCTTTGCAATTTCTTGCACATTAGCTCGAAAACTTTCGTTGATAATTTACGAGGCATCCCACACTCACACGTACGCGTCCACACGTACGATATGCATGCAGGGAGGGGCAAGTGCATTAACACCCTGACAGGCCCCAGCACACTTTGTCGCAACTTTTTGCCTCTCTCAAATGTGCAAATGAAATAATAAATGTGCGGAGTTTCGCAAATTTATAATGCTAAGCCAACCAAGTACTTTTGACTCCGCTGAGAAGTAGGCGGTAATTCGAAATTAATTGTGGACCCTTGACACTTGGTGACCCAGACAAAGAATTAAGAAAATAACAAGAATTACTCTGCATTAAATGTGAATTAATCGACAGAATGGAGAAGATAAGAGATAAAAGATAAAAAATATTACATTTTTGAAGAAGTAACACCTTTGGTGACTACGATAGCCATAATTTGAGAAGGGAAAATCAATTCCTAGTTTTTAGTTCGGAATAGATTTAATTTTTTTATGTTCATCAATCAGCTTTACCTTTTGTTGGAGAAATTTAACAAAATGTTTTTCACCGTTATCCGTCTTTGAAATATAGACAGAAATCTTCCAATTTATTAAAAGAGATAAATTGCCTTTCGAGCAAGAATATAAAGAACCAAATACGCAGCTATTTTTTATCGTAAAAAAAATGCTTTGAGGCCAGCGAATTCCAGTGTCAATGTCGCTTCAGTGTCTGTGTTGGAAACCGGGCTCCATGGACCAGGGAGCACAACAAGGAACAAGTATAATGCCCTTCAATCAAGTCTGTGGCCCCCGGAGCTGACGTGACTGTTGTTCATTTCACGCTTGGCCTTGTCAATGTCCTGCTGCCGGGACATTGTCTGCCAGCCCAGGCCAAAGTCCTGATTATCGACGATTTTGCATGAACTGCTGATAGCTTAGGATATCCATAAACGCCAGGTTCGCCAACGGCTCTGCAACGGAGAGAGGGATATCAGTTAGGGGCTGTTGCATGATGAATCATCAGTCCATAACAAATCACTTTCTGTTCCTGATGTCCCCGAGCCTCCAGGCATCTCCGACTCATTGGCCCCCTCTGAAAAGAGCACCAAAATGAAGATCGATTGAATGGAACAGTCGATACCCTGGACGTGGAACATACGTGTGTCGCTCGAATGGTTCGGGTCCTGTTCGAACTCCGCCTGGTTGGGAGCAACATCTGCCTTGGGATCCAGTGGAGAAGACTTGTCATTCGATTCAGTTTCGGGTTTGCTACCGAAGAAGAAATTGGTCAGAATACTCTCCCGCCTCTTGCCGCCGGGGTTTCCAGTACCCCCGCGGCTTCGTCCGCCACCCCCACCACCACCATCCATGAAGGGAGTCATTATCTCCATGGGGAAGGGGTAAATGATTCTGCATCGACGTTCTGCTGCAATCGAGGTCAGAATTTGTAGATGCCTCAGCTGAAATTCAGTGAAAGAGGCTGGCGTTATCCGCATTATATAATTCTGGAAGACATACCTGCAGGGTGATCTTGTTCTGAGACATGACATCGGAAGCCTCCTTGAGAGCCTGCGAGGCATTTAGCTCTCCCTCGGCTGAAATTATCTTGGCCCTTGCCTCCCTGACTGCCTCTGCCTCGCTGGCCAAGGATCGCTGCATAACCAGAGGCAGGCTGATATCCATCCTGTAGAATCAGATCACAAGATAATCAGTGGAAGATTAGGCGAGGCTTACGGATATACTAACACATCCACTCTCTCCACACGCACTCCCCATCGTTCCGTGATCTCATCGACGGCAACCTGGATCTCCCTGGACAGGGTGTCCCTCGAGGTGAGAAGGGTGTGGAGTGGCTTGGCTCCGACTATGTGTCTCAGTGTGGTCTGGGCTATCAGGACGGTAGCCTCCTTCGCATCATCCACCTGAATGAGGGCATCCATGGGATCCTTGATGCAGTAGTAGAGCACTGCGTCCACGGAAATCGTCACTGAGTCTCTGGTGAGGATGTCCTGAGAGGGCACCTCGGTCGAGAAGGTGCGTAGATCTACCTTGATGAAGTCGTCGATGCACGGCAGAGTCCATACGAGGCCTGGTCCCCTGATGCCCTTCCTTGAGAGAGTAAAGGGTATGCGGCTATGGGATTGGAAATAGTTCCAATGATTTGCAGAACCTCACCTGACCCTGCCCAGGCGAAAGACCAGCACCCGATGGTACTCCTTTACCACAATCAGGCACAAGAAGATCGACAAGGGAAATGTAATGATCACAAAGAACACGGACAGGTAGACGGNAGAATCAGATCACAAGATAATCAGTGGAAGATTAGGCGAGGCTTACGGATATACTAACACATCCACTCTCTCCACACGCACTCCCCATCGTTCCGTGATCTCATCGACGGCAACCTGGATCTCCCTGGACAGGGTGTCCCTCGAGGTGAGAAGGGTGTGGAGTGGCTTGGCTCCGACTATGTGTCTCAGTGTGGTCTGGGCTATCAGGACGGTAGCCTCCTTCGCATCATCCACCTGAATGAGGGCATCCATGGGATCCTTGATGCAGTAGTAGAGCACTGCGTCCACGGAAATCGTCACTGAGTCTCTGGTGAGGATGTCCTGAGAGGGCACCTCGGTCGAGAAGGTGCGTAGATCTACCTTGATGAAGTCGTCGATGCACGGCAGAGTCCATACGAGGCCTGGTCCCCTGATGCCCTTCCTTGAGAGAGTAAAGGGTATGCGGCTATGGGATTGGAAATAGTTCCAATGATTTGCAGAACCTCACCTGACCCTGCCCAGGCGAAAGACCAGCACCCGATGGTACTCCTTTACCACAATCAGGCACAAGAAGATCGACAAGGGAAATGTAATGATCACAAAGAACACGGACAGGTAGACGGCGATCTTTTCGAAGCCCGAATCCTTGTCATCCTCGGCTGGAAGAGATCTCAGGCGATAAGGAGGGAAGCTCGAAGATTGGATGGTGATATTCCCTTACTGGTTGTTATGTATCGGGAAGGCCTGACCCTCGGTTCAGGGATGGCTTCATTATCGGATGGACCTGGAGGTGGCTTGTCCGGCTGCCTGTCGGGCTGCGAGTTTGACAGTAGAGTGATGTTGGGTGGTTCCTTCTTTGGCGGTGGTTCATTAGCATCATTATCATCATCTGAAAAGTTCGTTTGAATATTCCGATTTATTTTGCTCATTACAAAGATTTTGACTAACTATGGGAAATAATACAATTTGACTTAGAGATCACAGAATGCTTTTGTCACTGTTGTGGCCTGTCAGTGCGAATGCAAATAAACTACCCTTTTACCGGACAGATGACACAGCAACAGGACTATTTACTCTCATGAATTTTTTAATTTATTTTCCCACACTAGAAGCCCGGGAACAGGGAAATAGTTGTAGCAAATATGGACAGGGGGAAAATGCACAGAATTCGTCAGTGCTCATAAATTTTCCTTATTTTCTTTCCCTTGCAGCCCTGGGCGAGAAGGATGAAAGCTCAACTGCAGCCCATTCACTGTCAACCCACAAAACCCCAAAAGTGCACATTACTTTGCCTCATAAGCAAGCCACTTCTTTAAAAAGCGAATACGGCGGCGTCTGTGTCGGTTGAAAGAAGGGGAGATCCTGCGAAATGGAAATACTCGTAGCTACAGTGCGGTTCGGCAATTTAAGACAACTGAGAGTTGAAACTTAAAAAGCTTCAAGGGGATATTTGGTGATGGAATCAAAAAATCTATTGAAACTTTATGGACCTTGATGGAACTTTATTGTCGAAGATAAGTATATGGGTAATGAAAGAGTTTGCCCTCATGAAATGTGAAATTGATCACTCTATATTATTACCGTTTTTATAGTTTCGCAACGCACTATACTTAGCGCCTTGACTGCCGCGGCGCAAGTGTCAAAATCTGACATGGAAAAATGAACCCAACACGAAGAGCTCCTAATTTCAGTTAGAAAAGCAGGCTGCGGGTTTCTTGCCATCGCATCGCGCCTTTGTGGCGCTTCCAGAGGAGACATGCAGTGGGATGAGAGATGACTGTGGCAGTGTGAGGGGGGAGGCAGACGGAGAGGGTAAGCTTCCGTTGATAATACCTGGTAACATGAACGTGACGATGACTGGCAAGATAACATTGAAATATTGCTTTGGCCAGAGCTCCCTGTTGTAGTCCTCCCCTTGGTAGTGATCCTGGTCCTGGCTCTAGTCCTACTCGTGGTTCCCATCGTGGGCAATTATAATTAGATGTGACTGACGCTTGGAGCTCAATTAAAAGCCACGTGGTCCGGGACCGAGACCGGGAGCCAGGCGAGCCGGAAAAATTGGGTTAAAACGTGCGGCAGCAAATACTCGAATGCAGGCCAGAAAAACCGCTCCAAATTGTTTCTATTTCAATTTGCCAGTCTGGTTTTTAGGGTGCGGAAGCGTGACATTTTGGCTATATTGAAATTTATGTTTTTCCGACTCAAATCCCGCACATTTACAGAACTTTGGGCCCCACACTGTGGGCCTGTGCAACCGGGGGCAAAAGTTTTCGCGTTCATTTTCATGCCAAATTTCAGCACACATCCGCGTCTGTGGTCAGATCCCCATCCGCAGCCCTAAAACCGACGGATCGGGGTCTCCACCGGAAGCCTTCGGCAATGCGACGATGGGAAATTGGTTTATTTTATTCCCATCGACAGTTTGTTGGGTGCTCAGAGGGGTTTTCGATGGTTGAATGGGCTGTGTTGGGTTGGGTTCTTGCTGGTGTTTTTTGCGAATTCTCAAATTAACATGAAACACGATTTAACGATTTTGTTGGAAAAATCCAATTAAGAAAAAACAATTTCCTTTTTTTATATCGTCGGCGACTACCAACAAAATAATTAGAGTCGTATTAGTTGAGTTCTTGATGTTTGTTCAGTTTTCCCAATGGAGAGCAACAACCGATTAAAGCCGTTGGGGAAATGTTTGGACAACTTTTTGGGAACTAATAAAAGCGCAGCACACCGGAGTGCTCCCCAAAAGGAGTTTTTATGATAAGTCTGATGGTGAGTCACATCTGTTTTAAGCACGCACGTTTATGGCTAACCATCTGCGACCACTCCCCAAATAGTGAGAATAGAGAAACAGAAGCCAGCAACGATTTTTCTGGCCCGCGCTAATGAAAGCGAGTTTCAACGCGTTTCCCCAAATGAAGTCGGCGGTCTACGGGTGGCAATAACTGGGCCAAATATACGGAAATAAAAAAGAGTTCACTCACTCGCATGCCCCTCTGCCTCGTCCAACCGCATGCAGCTGCAAATGCATTTTGAGTGTGCCACCGCAGAAACACCAAAAACCAAAAAGGGAGAAACCCAAGAATGAATGAAGTGGAACCCATGAATGGGTATATGAGAAACAAGTATATTCCGAGCACAAAAAAATTGGGGGGGCTAAATGTGCTCGTTAGTGGTTTTCCAGCTGACTTTGTTTCTCTGTCTGACTGTTTCTGTTTCTGCCTGTGTCTGTGTCTCTTTCCACCCATTGGTTACAACCCCACATATCCGTATCCGTATCGCATAAATTGTGTCTGTGTCCAGCGGGGGGAAAACACACACTCCCAATTTGCGATTTCTTCTAGTCTCTTCCCGGAATTCCTTTCACAACTGTGCGACTTTAAGCAAAGTCAACACGCAATTTAAATAACAATTGGATTTCTGTCAAATGTTTCAGTGGGAGAGAGAGAGGGAGTGTCATTAGCAAGACATTTATACGCCTCAGTGGAGCAGCTCCACACATGTTGGCCAATTTATGTGCTTATGTACATATATCAGGAACCCTCTGCTGAGAATAAATTAAGTCAAGGCCAAAACATGTTGGCCTCTGGGGGCTGATGCTTACCAGACATGTGTCGCTCAGTGTACAACATGAGCTGCTGGAAGCAGTTGAGAATTTTGCATATTCATTAAAAGCTCCCGATCTTGTGAGAGAATGGAAGCTTGGAAGGTGGAATTTAAAGCTATAATCGTTCCCATTCCGCTGCTAAAAGAGTGGTAAGTATTGAGATGAAGCAAACGCGATCGGCCATAATACCAAATCTTACTCTCCGGCAAGCACTTAACACCACTCAAGCAGTGCCGGGAGCGAGCGTACACACAATTGTTTATTGCTTGCCCTTTACCGTTTGTTCTTCGGCTGAGCTGAGCTGCTTGCTTTTCGCCAGCGTCCCCCCATAAGTACGGTACTATGTTTTGTTTGTGTGTGTGTGTGTGTGTGTGTTTGTAAGCGCTTAGTAGCCATTTAAGAGCGAAAGTCTTGCGTTGCGTTGCGTTGAGTGAATCTTTTAACACTCACTTCCGACAGTAGCTGTGAGAAGACTCCCCCCACCATCTACGTGTAAAGCCATTCCACATGCTGAAGGGAATTATATGCAGTCGACCGGTTGACTGACCAGTCACCTGTCTCTCTCCTCTCCCCATATCTTTCCTGCTGTTCCTTCTCCCTCTTTTACCTCTTATCCTCTTTAACATTTTATCTAAGCTGCGCTTTGGCATTGTTAATGCCAACACATTTTCACATTTTTACCCACTTGGCAAATTTACGGATTCCCCCCTCCGTGCACGGGTCCTGTCACGGAATTCGTATTTTCATGCACTTTAGTGAGAGCGCTCAAATCCGCACGGAGGGGCAGCGCCTTGAATTCTCACCCAGTAGAGGTTCCGCCTCAAATATTCACGAATCGGAGCATCGGAGCAATTGCAAGAACAAAAAAATGGGATTTTATCTTTTAGTCGCTTGTTGCTTGGGCTCTGCTACGGGTTCCTTGAAGTCCAATCTTTGGACACATCCGGCTGGAAATATACGTAACCTTATACGTACATATACGTACGCACGGTTCGGGGTCGGCTTGACGTGGACTTATCGCATCTCTGGGATTTATGTTGAAGGAACAATGCTGCCGCTTCCCTTGATTGTGAGGATTAAAAGCATCGCATGGCATTGGGCATTAGTAAGATTTATGCAACATTAATTTATGGTTGCAGAGAAACTGCTTAAATTGCGTACATTTGCTGGGACATAATTGAATTCATTCGAAAGTTTCCAGAGCTGGCCGCAAGTGTCACAAGGTTATTGAGTATACAATGGCCTTTTGACTTCTCTCTCTCTCTCTCTCTTCGCTCTCTGGACCAATGTCTTTTTGTTACGATTTCCTATGTTGAATATTTGCTTTCGCACCATTCATTGTCGTCGCCCAACAATGGACAAGGACAAAGAGAGACGCCGATGGAGAGTGTGAAGGAGAGCGATGCGCCGGCAGAAAGAGAAATTTAATGAAATTTCAAATTTCCCATTCACTTTCTGTCTAGATCTCAGGCTGTTAGTGTCTCAGTCTCGCCTCAGTTGCTGTCTTAAGTACTGGCCAAAGGGGAAAGGAGCAGATTTGAAGTAGGCATAGGAAGAGAGTCAATCTGCAACATGGCAGTGCAAATTGTTTGTACGATTGATGCACATAGAAAAGTTTTGTATTGTTTTGCATTGCATTTCATGTCTCGTTTAGCCAGTACTTCAGTAACGGCCTCAGAACCAGTCGCTGTTGTAGCCGTAGCTTCAGCTTGCATGTCCGGACACGACTCGACAAGACTCGCTTCCACTTTCCTTGTTCGTCGTCTCTTTTGTCCTGTTGCGACAGCTGCTCATTTCACGCTTGGTAATTTCAATGAATTTTGTCCTGCAGGACATCATGCTCCGCCATCTCACGCTATCCTCTTATTTGTATGCCGCTTCATTAATTAAATTTCCTCTTTTATATTAGATACATCTTCTTTGAATAGTTACTCATAGTTATTCAAAGTTTGTGCTTGAGCTCATTTCAATTACTTACTTGAGTGGGTTTCGGGGAGAGCCACTCAAACACTCAAATTAGTGCCCAGCATTGTCAGACCCAGCCATGCCCACCCATGGATCCTCCCAGACAGACCATTCCCAGAGAAAACTCCTCCGTGTTTACATCAAATTGAGAACTTTAATATTTGCTAATAACACTTTTAAAATTGCCTTCACCTGCGCAACAATTCCGCATGACGAGAGGGTAGATAGGCGAAGAAGCAGCTCTTTAGGGTCGACGATTTGAGGAACTGTGGACGTATGGCCCTCCAGCAGGTGCGGGTCTCCAAGAGCAGCTTCTCGTTCAGGTTGTGATAGTAATCGTTTCTGATTTTTGTGGCCGTGTCAACCAACTTAACGACATGGCTGTA